GGTCTTAGTGGCAAAGGGGATTGGATTTAACACCTGAATCTGGATGTTTCTGTCGACTGGTGCAGAAAATCGCKATTGCTCTGCTGTTCTGTATTTTWCGTAGAACCCGTCCGCATTCAGGCGTTTAGTCCAATTGCAATAAATCCCGGTGGATCTAATTTTCTGCATTCTCGCGTTGAACCCATCCACATTCAGGAACTTAACCCAATTGCAGAATATCGCAATAGATCTACTTTTCTGCACTTCTCTCGTTGAACCCGTCCACATTCATGCGCGACCTCGCCTCTGAAGTTGGTATTTGCAAAATGGAGAAGATTGTCATGTTGTTGATGACAACTCAATTAGGACAACAACTATGAAATAACAAACAAGCTTGCCGCTTAGAGGTGTGTGTGTGTGTGTGTGTGTGTGTGTGTGTGTGTGTGCGCGCGCCCGTGACACTGTGTGTGTGCGTGTGTATGTGTGTGTGTGTGTGTGTGTGTGTGTGTGTGTGTGTGTGTGTGTGAGAGTGTGTGTGTGTGTGTGTGTGTTTTGATGTGTGTGCTTTACGCACTCCATGGCAGGTTCCACTATGCCAGGTATACTGCTCCGATGACAGGTCACCGACACACCTCTAGCTCAAGAACAGACCGCAAGTATGGTAGATCTCATCTTTAGTGGCGAAAAAAACATCTACTTGGGTCTTCGAGAGATCTGGCGTCTCATGAATCTTTGCTGCTGTCCCATAAATTACCTGACTGCTAGTAAGCGTCCAAACAGGTTTGCTTGTCGGCGTCTCAAGCTTGGGATTGTTCACTGAGTAGGTCTCGTATTTCATGCCTCCCTACTACTCACCTATGCTTTGGGAAGGGGGGAGATGCCGGGGGTCTCGCGGCCTGGTTTTCATCCGTTTCATAGACCGTTCTCTGTTTTTGGAGGGGAGGAGGGTGTAGGCGCGTGCGAATACTCATAGTCCAATGTTCCCTGTTTTTCTTGGGGGGAAGACGGAAGGCAGACACCCAGCAGGGAATTGGATGTGCGAGGAGGTCTGATGCAGGGAGGCTAGCTCCACACGCGAACTTAGTTCTAAAGAGGGGAGAGAGCTTTCCCGAAGAAGAGTGAGATGCCTATTTTCGTAAGATCTCGGTTTGTCGATTCTCCCGGGGGGAGCGGAGTTCAGAGGGAAGTGCTACGTAACCTGCCACAAGTGACCATCATTAGAGCAGAGTTGCCATAACCTAGGGGTTCTATAGGTCCAGCAGCGGTGGACTTAATCAGACTCATGGTTCATGGTAACGTGCCCAGGTAATGAGCATGCTTCCAGACCCAGAGTCTCAGCTATTCATCAGCCAAGAACCGCAATCCTACCTATCTTACGCGAAAGAGTATCGACAACGGAGTTTGGGTAATCGTGGATATAGATAGGGGTGCACCGATCAATCCCGATCCGTTGCTCAGAAAAAAAGAAAATAAAAAAGAAAAATAAAAAGGATAAAGAAAAAAGAACAACAGGGGAAACAGGAGGAAAAAGATCCAGAGATTAAGACGCAACTTGCGATTACCTCCCCCCATCGCAATTGCCTAAGGGGAAGGCTCGCAGGCGAGTAGATGAGCACAAGGGCTGGTCAGAGAGCAAAGACCCATGGGTCTGACGTGTTTCTGTCAGATCCTTGGGTTACTACGTCCCCCGGCTCAATCAAAAAATAAAAATAAAAATAAAAATAAAAATAAAAATAAAATAATAAAAATAAAAATAAAAATAAATAAAATTGGAAATAAGATTCGATCCCCATCGGTTTTTTCTTTTCGATCGGGGGAAAGGCCTAACCCTTAGTTAGGCGTCCTTCATGGCACGAATCGTGGCGACGGATCCTGCCAGGTCCTCGGGTATTTGCGTTCCAAAAAAGACGAAGTAAAAAATAAAAAATAAAAAATAAAAAATAAAAAATAAAAATAAAATAAAAACTAAAAAACATATAATATAAAATACAAAAAGTTCGATCACCATTGGTTTCATCCTTCCTGATAGTGAGACAAAAACAGCGATCTCGTTCTCGTGCAAGGACCATGCATCAAGTCAGGGATCGTACAGAGGTCGATAGGCGTCTGTGTTCCCGAAAGGCATGCAACAAGGAACTAATCAACCCTCGTTCGAAAAAACAGGAGAAAGAGAAATCGCGGTCACGAGCGTGGAGAGAGAGTTCCCCGTTTTTTTAATTACGCGTGCGCCTCCCCGTCTCCTCCCGAACTAGCTTGCTAAAGCTTGGAGCAGAAGTATCCCGCCGGTCGTGGCTGCGCATGCTGCGCTTGCTAAGAAGACTGCTGCATAGGCAATAGAGAAGTAGATGAGAGCAGTTGTAAGCTTAGTCAGGGCGAGCCACAACGTTCTTACCCTTCAGAATCCATGGTGCGAGAAGCCATTCATCCTGGTCATACTAAGTAAGCAAAACATTTTTTCGAGAATTGACACACACGAAGAAAAAGGTTCGGAGGGAAAGAAGTTCAGAGAGAGGTGTAATACGCACACTGCCACAAGTGATTTCCATTATGGACTCTTTTTCTCAGACGGCACGGTCAGTCAGAGAAGAGTTGCCATAACCCAAGGGCTGATAGGTCCAGCATTGGTGGACTTAATCAGACTCATGGCTCACGGTATCTTGCCCAGGTAATGAGCATGCTTTTAAATCCGGAGTCTCAGCTAATCGTCAGGCGAGTCTAGTCTTACAGCAATCCTCTCCATCATACGCGAAAGAGTATTGGCTATCGTTTGCAACGGAGTTTTGGTAATCGTGGATGTAGATAGGGGGGTCTCCAATCAATTACGATCCGTCGCTCAAAGGAAGGAAAAGATCCGCAACTTGTGACTACCCCCCTCTTTTTCTCTCTCATCGTAATTTTCTACGGGGAATGGCTCGCAGGCGGGTAGATGACCATGGTGATCCCCCTGGGAGTTCTCCCAAAAGAACATAAGGGTTAACTAGAGAGCATAGACCCATGGATCTGACAAAGATCGACACACGAGTTTCTGCCAGATCCTTGGGTTACTACGTCTTCCGGCTCAAGCATACACAGTAAAAAATAACAAAAAATAACCGATAGAAATAAGATTCGACCATCATCGGCTATTTCATTTTGGCCGGGAGAAAAGATCCATCCAGGCGTCTCTCATGGTACGAATCATAGTGACGGATCTCGCCAGATTCTCAGGTACCTGTGTAAAAGAGAAAAAATCAAAAAATAAAAAATAAAAAATAAAAAAAATTAAAAATTAAAAAATTAAAAAACTAAAAATTAAAAAATTAAAAATTAAAAATTAAAAAATAAAAAATTAAAAATATTCGATCACTGATGGTTTCATTCTTCCCGATCGTGAGACAAAACTTATTCACGTGTAGGGACCACGCATCAAATCAGGGATCCGGTAGGGCGCATCACAGAGGTCAGTGGCATCCGTGTTCCCGAAAAACATGCAGCAAGGAACTAATTAACCCCCTTTTTTTCAAAAAAAGTCTCTCAGCTGCTTGCCACAACGCTTTTCCGGAATCCATGGTGCGAGAGTCCATTCATCCTGACCGCACTAAGTCTTAAGTAAGGTATAGCAAAGCATCTTACGAGAGATTGACACACACGAAAAATTGACACACACGGAAAAAAGGGGGGGGGAAAAAAGAAACAATGCAGAAAACCACACAAGATATAGGCAGTGCTTACCGCTGAGGAGCGCACTGGGGATGAGCTGTGTGTCCGAAAATCGCTTCAACGCGGGTTTCGCATTGAAAAATTGAACGCGCGTTCAATTCGCGTTCAATCCCCGTTCAAACACGCGTTAGACGCGAATGAACGGGGTCCGCGAACCGCGTTTCCGCGCGTTTGGGGGGGGGGG